TTTAAAGCAGTTATCTAGCCAGAAATTCCAATTTTAACTTGTGTGCAAAAATTTAAAAAATGCTTTGGGTGCAAGTGCTTAAAATAGGTAAGATAACAATGTCTAAGGACCACTGTCATAAATGTCAGGGGGGCAGGGGAGACTTCCTCCCCTGTCCCCCTGAGACTCCCTTTTTTAAAAAACATTTTGGCCACAAGTTACTAATTTTGTTATTACAGGTACTTAATATACCAAATATCTGCACTTGACTGTGTGCCTCTTGGATGTTTTCTCTGATTACCCTACAGAATTTCCATACAAACCACTCATGTGATTGAATTAATGGATTACACTTATCCAACCTCGGCACTCCACCTGTTGTGGACCTGCAAGTCCCATGATGCATTCCAAGATTCTGACTGCCAGAGGTATGTCTCACAGGCTTGATGGGATTTGTAGTTTCACTACAACTGGAGTACTCATTGCTCACTCCTGCACTAGTCAATGATGTTGTTCCCTTGTATTGCCTGACTTGTGAGGCAAGGAAAACACAAAAGATACAGTGGAGTGGATCGATGAAATACGGACAGTGTCAGGAGCGCTATTAAATCTTAGAGTGTGGAGTCTGGGTGTCTATGGCAGTGTCACAGCACACAAGAGGGACTTACGATTAGGAGCTCCCCTGTTGTCTATGCGACCATCTCCTTGGACAGATCCTGGCTCGAAGGGATGTCTCCGGTGGTGTGAGAGGCTGATCCAGAATGGATGTGCAACCGTATGGCCGCCCACGTACTCGACTGGCCGGGCCAAACCGCGTTGGTCAGGAACGGAGAAAAAGGGTGAGGAGCAACACGCGGCTGAGGGACGCCGTGTGTCAGTGATAGCAGTCGGGCTATGGTCACAGGGGTACAAGAGTATCGGGTGTCTCCGGAAAAGTGGCTACACGTTTCGAGGGGTTACTTCTTTATCAAGCCTCAGGGTGCACCCTGAGGCTAGGGGTTACCTCTTTATCAAGCCTCAGGGTGCACCCTCACAGGGGTATCAGGGGTCTCCGGAAAAGTGGCTACGCGTAGAAAAAGATGTACACCCGCGCAACGCGTAGCCACTTTTTCGGAGACACGGTTGACACGGTTGCACGCCAGAGGTAAACCTAGGAGTAGCCGGTTACATTACCCGGTAGTCGGGGACTTCATATCGGCGACGGTCCCGGGTGTATTCCGGAGACAAGAGGGGTGGGAGCCGTTCCAGAGTCGGGCCACTCATCCGCGATGGTCCCGTGAATGCCGCGGGGACCAACTTTAGGTTGCAATGAAACCCGGTAGGCACCGGCGTGTTGTCATCCGTGGGGTTCTTCCTGAGAGCGTGGGGATCGTTGCCGACTGTCAGCCTTTTTCCGGGTAGATCGTGGGCCGCGTTCCCATAGCGGTTGCAGGCGTCGTCTCTGTTGGGCCTGCGGAGCCAGCGGTGGGATGTTGAGCATGTCCGGCGTAGTCAAGCGTAGGGATTCCAGCAGCGGACCCGCTTCCTCCGGAGTGGCGAATGAGTACTGACGACCATCATAGGCAAAGTGGGCCTTGAGGGGGAAGCCCCACTTGTATTTGATGCGGTGGTGCGCCAGGGAGTTCAGGTATGGTTTCAGGGCCTTCCTCTTCTGAAGGGTCTGTGGAGCCAGATCTGAGTATACTTGATACTTGAAGCCCTGGAACGTGAGGTCACGGCGTTCCCAGGCTGCCTTCACGATTTCCTCTTTAGCTCTGTAAAAGGTCGGCTTAAGGATTACGTCTCACGGTGGTCCCTCCGGTCTTTTGGCGCCCAAGGCCCTATGCACCCGATCCATCTCCAGCCTTTCGACCCGGTAGTGCGGAAGTAGTTCCTGGAACATGGCCGTGACCGTGGCATTCAGGTCCTCTACATGTTCAGGGATACCGCGTAGGCGGATATTACCGCGCCTGTTCCTGTTCTCCAGGTCTTCTAGTTTAAGGAGGGTAGCGGAAAGGTCAGTTTTGACGGAGTCTAAGTCCTGTTCATGGGATTCCACAATACTGACCACATCATCCAGTTTACCTTCGATATCATTGATCCTGGATCCCAGTTCTTTGATATCGCGTGAGAGCTGTGCCGCCAGTTTGTCAGTGGCGGTTCTCAGCTCCTTCTGTAGCAGGATTTTGAAGCGATCTAGCAGATCAGAATCTCTACAAGCCGGCTCTGGTTGATGGCTCGGTACAGGAGAGGATGTACTAGCGTTTGAGGCACGGTCGGCGTCCGCAATTGACTCCTGCGAGGATGGCTGTGAATTCGGCCCTGAGGGAGACGACGCCATCTTGGCTGGAGAGCGCGTCGAAGCCGGAGTGTTCGACCTGCGGCAACGATTGTGGGTATTGTTGTAACTCCTTCTCATTTCTGGTCTCCAGCCGTTCCTGGAGTTGTGCCACTAGTCGGGCAGGTAGTGGGGCACCGAATAAGTATCTAGCTTGTGAAGTTCGTGTCCGGGTGTAGTGGAGCCAGATTAGATTGCGGCCATCTTGGTTGGCTGCTCACTAGCGCCAAACCCTCAGATTTTTTAACATAAAACAATACTGTAATGTGTGCCTTACTGTAACCCATGATAGTTTCTCTTCTCTTTGCTGCTCTTCCTTTTAAATCCTCATGTCTTCTCATGCTTGGGGAGAACTTCCCTTTTGCAGCTGAGTGCATCTTCCTGTAGTGCTGGCTCAGGTTGCAAACGTACACACAGACACCATGTAGCCATTCCAGAGACAAGGCAGTCTGCTGCAAAACAGAAGTTCTGCCTAGCATGAGAACAGATACAGATTTAAAAGGAAGAACAGCAAAGAGAAGGGAAACAACCATGGATTACAGTAAGGCACACATTACAGTATTGTTTTATGTTAAAAAATCTGAGGGTTTAATGTCACTTTAAGGGCCTTGTATGACTTTAAGGGGGAATCCCACACACGTTTTTTTGTTACCTGGGGTCTCTCCTCAATGTTCCTACCAGACCTTGAGGGCCTGGTACGACTTTTTTTTTCTTTACACGGGGTCCCTCCTAAATATTGTTACGAGACCTTAAGGGTCTGGTATGACTTTTAGGGGAACCCTATGCTTTAAAAAAGAAAAAAAATGGTCCCTCCTAACATTCCTACCAGACCTAAAGGGTCTGGTATTGTTTGGGAAGGGGAACTGCACACATTCATTTTTCTTTCTTTCACAATTCATTTTTTTTCATCAGAAATGTCAATTTTGCTGCAGCAGGTTCTATACATCGTACAGATCCGCCAATTTACAGGCAGTTTATGGGGACCCCCCCCAGGCATGATACTTGAAGGAATTTTTAATTTGTATTACCCTTTAAGTGATGTTAAAATTGTGACGGACTGAACCGTCACTGGGGCTGCTGGAGGAGCCTGAGGGCTAGCCTCCTTCCTACGGACCACAGACCTAGGGCTGCAGAGATTTATTACCCGGAGAACTTTGTGTGCTGTGTGTATTTCCAGTTAATATTTTATCTGGGGAGAGCTGGTCACTATGTGCCAGATTAGGGTGCTTTGCCTTTCGTTTGACAACCAGTGCAACAACTGTAGGATCATTTGCAGAACTACTACTATTGGGGACACTAGTGCACTAGAATCCAGTGATGTGTCACGCAGGTATTTAAAACCCTGTAAGATTTGATCTCTTAATCTAATTAGCCCCGGGGAAGTCTGCTACCTGACTATGTCCTGAAGCAAAAGTCTGTCCCAGAACCAGAATGTGTCTCATAGAAGATCCAGGGGCGGTATATAGGTTGTGTGCAATTGATTCTATCTTCTGGTCAGTTGGTTCCTTTTGGGGGCTCCTGTCCATTGGTATCACCATCACCTTGCTTAATGTAGTTATGGGTAGATCTGCTACAGGTGGAGCAGCCCATTTTTTAATATGGTCCTCTGCAAAGGTAACTGAAAAATATTTTGGCCAAAACAAAAGCCTTGTTTGGATGTTTCCATTTCATGTAGTTGAAAGAATGGTGTGAAAACATTTAAGCCTTGCGCCCACCTTTGCTTGTTAAAGGCCTAAGTCATCCTAGTATTCTGTCTCTTTATCTGAAGAGTCCTCTATATTTAACCACCTGCTGTCCTGCCGTTGTAATTAAATGGCCGGACAGCGGCTTCTTGAGAGCGGGTGGGCGTCTTTAGACGTCCCATCCCGTCCCGTTCGTGCCCACCGCTAGGCGGCAGGCATGAGCTGGAAATCGGCTTTGAATGTAAACAGCCAGCGATGGCTGTTTACATACAAGCGTTCGGGCGTCTGTAGAGACGACCTATCGCTTGTAATATGCGTGCGGGTGTGCGCCCCCTCCGCTGCAGAGTGGTCAATTTTGAGTGTGGTAGTTTTTGCGATGTAGCGGGTGTGCGCAATTTTAAAGCTTGACATGTTTAGTGTCTATTTACCCGACGTGACCCCGTCTTTTATATTTTACCAAAAAATTGGGTAATAATAATAATAAATGTTTTATAACATAACAGGGATAACAGGTTTTTTAGAACAAATTTGGTATTTTTTTCATTATAGTAAAAAAAACAAAAAAAAACGTGGTGATTAAATACCACTAAAAGAAAGCTCTATCTGTCCCAAAAAATGGTATAAAATTAATTTCAGTACAGCGTTGCATGACGGAATAAATGTCAGTCAAAGTACTGCAGCGCTGAACACTGAAAAATGGCCTGGACAGGAAGGGGGTATAAACACCCCGGTCAGCAAGTGGTTAATGTCTCACAAACTATGCAAATTAACAAAGTAATTGCTTCCTTTTCACAAGGGAGAGAAGCCATTAATCTGTCATGCTTAGTCATGGAACCTGAGGATCCTTCAGCCAACTCGCCTACCATTTAGATTCCAGAGTTGGCCTTTAAATGTCAAATACCTACAAACAAAGAGAATACTAGAGAGGGTGCAAATACTTTGGTGTGTGTGTTTTTTTTAACAGATATTATTATTTTGTAAATTTTAAAACTTGTTTTTGGTTATTTTTTTAATCTATCTAGGCATGATGGAACATACCAAACGCCTGTTGCGAGCATTTTTTGAACTCTCACAAACGCATAGAGGTAAGAACTAGTTAAGCAGTAACAAGCTGTACGTTTTATAACATGGAATTATCCAAAATGTTACATTTGTTTTTTTTCCCATACATGTTGCTGGGTGAGATATAGAAGTAGCATCTCGATGATGATCAAGGAGGCAAATAGACATCGTTCCAAAAAATATTAATTGTTATAGGTAGCTAGAGATGATATTTGGATTTGCTTCATTCATGGGTTCTATGCCACTTCTTAGGCAGAAGCAGAGGATTTTGGCCAAGTTTGCAAGCATGAACATTGGGACAGCTGATAAAGTAGAGCCTTTTGCCCCTTGTCAATTAAATCACAAGATCCAACAATCTAAAGGAATGGATAACCCAGCCCCCTGCAGTTTGTTAGCATAGAGAGAGATAAATTGCATATGGAGAGTTATTGTAGGCCTTTTAGGCAGATTACTTGAAGTACTGTACATGTTTCCTCTTACTGGATTATATGTAAATAGCTACATGCTGTGTATGGTAAATAGATAGAGGAATCTAAACTGAAGTGATGTATACAGAGTGAGATCAGTTTTATAAAAAGTGCAAATCTTTATTAATTCCACTCTAAAAATTATTCTGAGGGGTGATTAAATATAGAATAGAAAATGAGCTTGTATAAACAAAAGAAGCAGAGAATGGAATGCTTTTCACTTTAAGAGAATTTCTTGATCGTACGGTACATGACACAGGCAATTCATAGGCATCTGGGTAATTTTTATGTATCAACTGGCCAACTGGCGACTGGACACTGGTCAGAGCTGTGAGGACACTCAAATAACCCCTCCCACTCCAGGAAATCCTCAGTTTCTTGCTAGTATCCTTATGTGATGGATGTCTCCTCTCTTTCGAGGGAGATGTGTGATAGTTTAGTTGCCTTTTGTCTGCGTTTCTTCAATCAAGAACTTTTTGGCTGTGCCTGACCATGGCGCCAACCTCAAAACTTCCAGATCAGTATCCCATAGCAGCAGCTTTGACGACCATTCCCAGACTCCACAGTACTAAAGCTGTGGGGCTAGCCTGTAAAGTCACTTTAGGGAATGGATCTTGCATTAGGCACCCAGCATGTTGGTTTGGCTGCAGGGTGCTATACAGGTCCAGTGGCATATCTGCACTGGTGTGACCCATCCCTGAAGACCCCCGGGAGGGTAAGTTGGTCAGTCATCTGACGTGAGCAAAGCCAAGGGTCAGTGAACATTCCCCATTTCCTTCATTGGATGCATGATGCTACTGGTGGGGAGAGTCTCTTTCCCTATCCTCCTCCTTTCCCAGTACCCCTGTTCTCAATGCTAGCCATTTAAAAATGTGTGTTTTTTTTCCAACCAGATTTTTGTGTGTGCAGTACCTTCAGTTTGCCCCTACACTTCCACTATCTCTGTTCAACAATATTTGGCTTCTCCTGTCCACATGCCCCAGCTATGAGACAGGAGTCCTACCAACAGAGCTTGCTCAGTATGCCACCAGTGGCCATCTTGGTAATGCATGCTGGCTGGTATGGCAGCCATCTTGTTACTCCCTCTACAGCAGAAAGGGATTCATCTTTGCAACAGGGAGGGAGCAAACTGACCTTGTCAGCATCTGACACCATCCACAGCAATAATATTGTCTGAATTGCTAGGGACAATGGAGACCAGGGAGGGGGGACCCTCTTTAATCCTCTGGTGCCGGTGTTGTGAGTACCTTTTGGGGCCCCTCGCCATGGCAGACATTACTGCTAATGGGAGCTGGCGCTTACCTGAGGTTTTCCTTAGGCATACTGCTACAGTTGGTATACATGTTAGTCCACAGTTTAGCCTGCTATATCAGTGAGAATACTAGAGGGGTGTTGATTCACAAAAAAAACGTGCATGCATTGATGGAATTCAGCATAGGGAATGGCCTGCTTTTTCCATGAATGAGGCATAGTCTGTTTTGTTTGGCCGTTAGAAAAATGTAGTTTGCCAATTGCCATTGGGGCCAATTTAGTTGTGGTATTTTGTAGTGAGGATAGATGCCAAGTATCTTTTGGTATTGATATGTGAACGATAGTATAAAGGAGCCTATACATTTTGGACCAAAAGGAGGTCTGCGAAAGAGCAGGTCCACCAAATGTGCATAATGTCACCCACTGTGGGGCACCCTTCGAAAGCAGGTATCATGGTAGGTTGGTTGTAGATGATGGAAGTTGGGAAGAAACTAGGTACCATCTTGATAGTACCTTGTAGGCAGCTTCTTGGGTTAAAATATTACGAGAGCACCTGGAAATTGCATCCTATATGGAAGACCAATCCTCTAAAGGTTTAGTGTGATGGAGGTCGCGATGCCAATTCGCAACATATCTATGAGTGGTAGTGGAAGGCAAGGAGTTGAGCTGAGAGTACAGTTATGAGATAAGGTTTGGGGATTGAGGACGAATTTTTGAGACAAATGCGTTCAAAGACGGTAAGAGGGCTAGAACCATCTTGACTCAATACGGTAGCAGGGAGTGAACCCAATGTCTAATTTGAATATAACGAAAGAGTTCCCGAGAGGGAGGTTGAGATTTGGCCCGCTATAGCTTCCCACGAGAGTAGTTCTGAGCCACGCAAAAAACTGTAGACAGTGGTATAACTGTGGGTGTGCCACCAGGCAAAAGCGGAGGGACTCCCGAGTGCCGGCTGGAACATAAGGTTCCCTAAAAGATTAGTAAGGGGGAGATGTGGGGATATTAAGGACCCAGGGGATGGAGGAAGGAGACACGGCATATGGAATTTACAAAAAAGTCCAAAGGGGAGTGGATTAACCTGCATATGGAGGGTAAAGATGGATGCAATATGTGCAGCTTCATAGTATTTTACTAGATCAGAGACTCCCAAGCCGCCTTGGTGGCGGTGACAAATCATAGCCTTCCATGCTATTCTAGGACGTTTGTTGTGCCAAATGAAAGACATAAGATGATTGCATGGATCGTAGAGCAAAATGGGAAAAAGCAACGGGAAGGGTCTCGAAGAAGTAAAGCAATTTGGGAAGTAGGGTCATTTTGACTGCATAGACACGGCCTAACCAGGAAATGGGCAAGTTGGTCCAAGAAGATAAGAGGTTTTTCGGGGAACAGAAAAGGAATATATAGTTTACTGAGTATAGGGAGTCATGGGAAGAGGAAAGAGGTATTCCCAGTTAAGGAAGAGATTGTGGAGTCCATTCATCATCATCTATGTCCTGCCATGAAAGGGGGATATTCAAAGCAAGAGATTTAGAGCGGTTGACAACAAGACCCGATAAGTTCCCAAAGGCCTCCTAGACAGAAAAAAGAGAGGGTAAGGATATTAGAGGGTGGGTAAGAGATAGGAGAATATTGTCAGCAAGCAAGATGATTTTAAAGGGAATGCCCGCAACTTTCACTCCCCGAACAGAAGGGGTATCCCAAATTGGCATAGCCAGAGGTTCAATAGCCAATTTAAATAGACTTGGGGAAAGAGGGCAGCCTTGCCTCGTGAGATAAGGAAGACTTCGGAGAGGTGACCCATATTAATAAACTGCGCAGAGAGATTATGGTACAGTGCAAAGACCCATGTACGAAAAGAGGGTCCGAAGTTCCATCTCGTCAGAGCATAATGCAGATATTCCCAGGATAACGTATAGAACGATTTGTGACTATCTAATGATAAGAGGAAACCTGGAAGTGACCTCTGTTGCATGAGATGTACTAAGTGGACCACCCTCTGCACATTGTCCCCAGCCTGTCGAGAGGGAGTGAACGCAACCTGATCCCCGAGAGAACACAAAACTTTGTTCACACTGTCTGCTAGGATTTCCCCAGAAGTTTAATATTTGTGTTTAGTAAGGATATTGGGCGGTAATTGGCAACATCAATGAAATCAGCAGGTTTCGGAATCATAGCTATACAGTATTTGCGGAAAGTGATGACGGGTGGAGGAAGGAACCTGATTTCATGGTATTAAAAAGGCGCGTAAGATGGGGAACCAAGATGTCTTTAAATTTCTTGTAATAGAGATTAGAGAAGCCATCCAGACCCGGGGATTTATTTGATTTAAGAGAGGAAATTGATGCCAAAACTTCAGTGTCAGTGATGTTAGATTCCAAGGAGTCATGGACGGCAGAGGAGAAGGAGGGGAAAGTGAAGACCCCGAAAAAGGTGATCAGCAGCAATAGGGTTGAAGGGAGAGGAAGTAGCGTAAACGGAGGCCAGGTGTTCCTGAAATAATTTGACAATATTAGATGGATTAGCAGTAACCTGATCTGAGGGGTTACAGAGTTTGACCACGTGCTTGAGATGGTAACATTTTGAGTTGTTTGGGACCAGGTTTAGTTGTGCGCATGTAAAAGAATTGTTTATTCCAGCGCAACTCCTTCTCTGCTCTGTCATTCAAAAGTAAGTTAAGTTCCAATTTAGTAGAATCCACTTGGGTTTTCAAAGTCGCAGAGGGCGATGACATCCAGGTGCTCTCCAAATCCGACAAAGTACTGGTCAGTTTAGCTATTCTGCCATCCCTGGTCTTTTTAAGAAAGGACGCCAAATTGATCAGTTCTGACGGTGGCCTTGTGAACCTCCCAAAGGGAGACAGGGGAAGAAACGGAGCCCATATTAAGCTGAAAATAAGACATCAGAGCAGAGCGAATATTCACTAGCCACCAGTTGCCCCACCTAACCCTTACCCTGCTCCGGCCTTAACTCCGCCCCTAAATACACCCTCTTAAATAATCTTATGATAATTCTTATCCTTTGATAGTTGCTGCTCTTAAACGGCAGATTAGGGATTGCTGCTGCAGGAAAACGCAAGTTACTGACACAGGAATCTTAATCACACCTGAAATATACTGTAGGTGTGAATGGGGCCTAATATACACATATACTAAGGGTGCCCATACACCTGACGATTATCGTACCATAATCGCGGGTGATCCCGCGATCGTACGATAATCAGCAGGTGTATGGGCAGCGTGCGACCGCTTCTACTGTAAGGTTGTACGACTTTCTTCTTCCAAGCACGCTGGAAAACCTGCCGAAAA